GTCGAGCGTGATGAGCACGATGTTCGGCGGCCGGCTCTCCGCGCTCGCGTCCATCGTCAGGTCGACCTCGGCGTCGAGGGCGACGGCGGCCGTCGCGGCCGCCGGCGCCTTGAGCCGTCCCTCGACGAGGAACATGCTGAGCACGCCGGCGACGCTCAGGCCGAAGAAGCCCAGCATGCGCAGGAGCGGCCGGTGCGCCGCGCCGCGCGGCGCCTCCACGGCGCCGTACGCCATGGTCGGCTGTGCGACCGCGCGCGACCGGCCGCGGACGACAAAGGGCTGCCTCGACTGTCTCGACGGGAGGAATACAATCGAAGCTACGGAAACCGGATACCGATGCCGGCACGGAGCACGGCAAGAGCAGGGCAGCCCGAGCACGATGGACGACGAGTCGGGCTGCCCGCCGCCGCCGGACTGGGTCGCGCTGGACTGGAGCCAGCACCGGCTCAAGGAGACGCCCGTCGCCGAGGACCGGCCCGAGCCGCCGGACCTCGACGAAGACGAGCTCGACGCCGACATGGACGCCTTGGATCTCGAGCCGGACCTCACGGGGTCCTGGACGGCGGCGCCGCGGCAGCCGGTGGCGCCGCCGCCGCTGCCGCCGCAGTCCGACGAGCCGCGCGTCCGGGTCGGCTCGGCCGCCGCGGCCCGCGCCTTCCTCGCGCGCGTCGAGGGCCGGTCGAGGCCGGCCGAGGAAGGCCCGCCGGCGCCGGCGCCGCGCGACGCCTCCTGGGCCGAATCGACGACGCCGTCGCCGCGGCTCACGCCGCGCGACAAGGACGTCATCGCGACCATCGAGGCGCGGCTCCGCGCCGCCGACGAGGGCATGCTCCGGAGCTGCGCCGTCGACGACGACGTCGGCGACGAGGGCGAGTGGGCGCCCCTCGACGCTTCGGACCTTCCGAGCGAGCCCCCGGCGGCACCCGCGCCGACCGAAACCCCACCCGCCCCGCCGCGAGCGGCGTCGTAGAAGCTCGTCTTTAGTCGTCGGCGGCGGGACCCCGCCGCCGGGCTGGTCCGCGCGTCCTACTGGGGCAGGGGCGCGACCCATTGCCAGACCATGAGCTTGGAGTCGTCGCCGACGGAGCAGAAGTAGGCCTCGCCGCAGCAGAGCGCGCGGACCGACCCGTTGTGGCCCACGGAGAACTTGTTCGACAGCGTCGAGCGGAGCTTGAAGCCGAGGTCCGGCTGGCGCAGCTCCACGGTGCCGTCGACGAGCCCGATGACGACGACGGCCTTCCCCGCCGGGTCCTGCGTCGCGTCGAGCGCCAGGATCGCGCCGTTGCACTTCTGCGTGAAGTCGCAGCCGCCGGACGAGTTCCACACCTTGAGGTGCGCGTCCATGGAGCCCGACACGAAGTACTTGGCGTCGCCCATGGTCAGCGGGCACACGGCCGTGATGGCCTCGGCGTGGCCGTCGTTGTTCTTGCTCAGCATGCCCGCGCACTCCTTGCGCGCCGGGTCGTCGATGGACCAGATCCGCAGCGTCCGGTCCATGGACCCGCTCAGCAGGAAGTTGCCGCCGGAGGCGAAGAGGGCCAGGGACGTCACGCCGCGCACGTGCCCCTCGAGCTTGCACTTGAGCGCGAAGCCGCCGCTCGCCGCGTCGAAGCCCCAGCAGTGGATGGCGCCCTCCTGGCCGCCCGTGTAGACCTCGGGCGCCGCGTCGACCTTCATCTTGCAGCAGTAGACGGGCTGCGGGTGCGCGAAGGGCTGCGGCTCCGACATCTTGAAGTCGTAGGGCGCCGCCGGGTTGGCCAGGTTCCACGCGCGGACCATGCCGACGTTGACGCCGGGGATCGTCGCCGTGGGGCCCTCGTAGCCGCAGACGAGGTGCCCCGCGTCGACCTCCAGCGCGTGGATCTCGCCCTCCATCTGCACGTCCTGCGTCAGGGACCAGGTCTGGGCGTCCCACATGCGCCAGTGGCCGTCCTTGCTGCCCGTGAACACGTAGACGCCGCCCGACGCGTTCTTGTAGGAGCAGACCGCGCGCACGTGGTGTTGCTGGCTGTTCCCGCCGCCGCCGCCGGAGCAGGCGACGTCGGCGACGCGCTGGAGCGCGTGGGCGAACTGGCAGCCGCCGGGCTTCTGCGACGACTGGCACTGGCCCGCGCCGCCCAAAAGGAAGAACTTGCAGAGCCGCACGTCGGGCTGCTCGGCGTGGTTCGACCCCTGGTAGCCGCTGTTGTGGCTCCGGTTCGAGTTGTTGTTGTTCCGCCCGCCGAAGCTGCTGTTGTTGTTGTTGCTACCGCCCCCGAACCGGTTGTTGTTGCGCCCGCCGTAGCCGCCGCCGCCGCCCCGGCGCCGGTTGTTGCTCATGGCGTGTTCTGCGCGACGCGTTCGACGCGGCGCGCGACCGGATCACGCGAGCGACGCAGACGACTTCGCGCCGCGGTGTATGTCCGGCGGCGACGCCGCGGTGCCCGCGCACCCGATGTCAAGTGGCGGCGTCGCGAGCGTCAAGCGCGATGCTCGACCCCGAGCGAGGTGAATCGTGTGCAACTTTTGGGTCGATGAAGCGTCCTCCGCGCGTGCGCCGCGCTCGGCAGCAAAGCGCTGCGTTGATATATACGCGTCGATCCGCATGCGAGAAACGTCGAACGTGGCACGTTGCGGGCTCGTCCTTTGTCCTTACAGCCTGAGCGCGCGCACGACCAGAGCCCGCGCGTCGCCCAGCGCACGCACGAGTTGTCCTTGTCCGTGTGGCCGTCGTACACCGTGTGGCCGGGCTTGTCGGCGTCGTAGTTCATGAAGAAGATGCACGACACGCCCGCGAGGGGACGCCGCGACGACGTATCCGCGAGCGCGAGCGCCGTGTCGCTGTGGCTCGACGGGCCCCACCCCGACTGGTGCGGGGAGCGGACGCTCCTCCGGTCGCCCGCGTCGCCCGCGCCGCGCTCGGCGACGGAGACGAGCGGCGCCTGCCTCATCGTCGGCCGCGTCGACGGCGGCGGCGGCTTCGCGAGCGCGAGCCCCGCGTCGGGGACGCAATGACACGACGCCGCCGCGGCGCGCGCACAGGGCTTCGGGTCGCGCGCATTCGCGCGTACGGGGCGTCGGCGCCCGTCCGGGATAGCCTGCTGCGCCAGGCGCGTGCTAGTTTCGCTGCGCCGCACGGCTGCACGCCGCGGCGCGCGCGCGGCGCGTTCGACATCAACACCGACGGCAACATCGTTCCTCATTGGGCAATTACATCGCATCTCGCGCCGGTCGTGCGCGCATCTCGCCGCCCAACGCTGCCAATATGGCCGTCGCGAAGACGCCGACGGCCGCGGCCGCTGCCAACACCTCCAGAGAAGACTCGCCGACCGGCGTCGAAGAGCTCGACGCGAAAGCGCCGAAATCCATCGACCATTTCCTCGGCGAACAATTTTTCCTTCTGTGCAAACGAAATGCGCTCTGCAAGGCCATTTTCGACGCGTCTTCGGTGTCCGGCGACGAGATCATCTGGTTCCTGCCCGCGGCGGCGTTCATCACCGGCGGCTTCGCGCTGCGCGGCGCCGCGGCGGTCGCGCGCGGCGGTCGAATAGCGCGGGCGTCGTGCCCGGAGGAGGTCGGCTGCGACATGTTCGCCGTCTGCAGCGTCTGCAGCACCCTGGAGATGGCCATCAAGCTCTTCTTCGAGCGGCCGCGGCCGCCCTACGTGCGCAGGGACGTCCAGACCTACGTGCTGCCGGGCGAGTGCTGGAGTTTTCCGTCGGGCCACAGCATGCGCGCGGCGTGCTTCGCGTTCTGGCTCGTCTTCGGCAAGAACGGCGGGCTCCTGTGCGCGTTCTTCCGCGTGCCTCGCCCGCCGCTGGCCGCCGCGCTGGCCTGGGCGGCGAGCGTCGCCGCGGCGCGCGTCGCGAAAGGAAGGCACTACCCGTCGGACGCGGCCGTCGGCTATTTGCTGGGCATCGCGGTCGGCGGCTGCATGGAGGGCGCGCGCCTGACGCAGCTCCAGCGCGGCGTCGTCAAGGTCGGCGGCGGCGTCGTCGTGACGGGGAGCTGGGGGGCCTTCTTCCTGACGCCGCTGCTTTCTCGCGCGACGGGCGTGCCCGCGGCCGTGCTCTACCCGCTGTATCTGATGTTCTACGTCGCCATGCTCGTCGCGTCCGTGCCGCGGACGACGGAGGGCTGGGACTTCGGCGCCTGTAAATCATACTACCCTTAGAAACCGGCGACGACCCTTAGAACGTCTCGCCGTCGTCCTCGGACGCGAGCACGCGCATGCCCGTCAGCGCAAAGGCCCAGAGGTTCGCGTCGGGCGGCAGCGCGATGGCCGCCGTCGACGGCGCCGCGAGCGCGGCCTCGAGCGCGTCCGCGTCGCTCGCGGCCACGACGGCCGCCGGCGCGGCCGGCGCGTCGGCGGTCTCCGCCGTCAGCGCGCCGTCGTCCTCGACGACGAAGCAGGGTACGCCCGCGCCGATCGTGTCGGCCTTGGAGAACGTCGCCCGCGCGTAGAGCACGGCGTCGACGGCGCGGCCTTTCGGTAGCGCGGCGCCGCCGCGGTCGACGATGCGCCGCACGGCGTAGAACAGCGTGAGCAAGCGCTGCTCCGCGGCGCGCTCGAACTCGTCGCGCAGGTCCAGGAAGAGCAGCGCGCTGTTCTCGTCGCGCGCCTCGAGCTGCGCCCAGGCGTTGGCCGGGATGCTTTGGTGCTTGGTGTGAGAGCGCGTCTTCGACGCCGGTCGCAGGGCGGCGGCCGCGGCCGTCAATAGGATGAAGGCGCGCATCGGTCTCGACTAGGTAGTGCTCGTGCGCGCGGCGGTGCTCGTGCGCGCGGTGGCGCTCTGTGCGAGGCAGCGTTTTTAGGCGACTGCTCTTTGCATGCAAAATCCTTGTGGCAAAAAGAGGCCAGCCTCTGGTGGACGTCTGTGCCGGCAGAAAGCGTCGCACCCATGGGCGTCGTCGCCGCCTTGAGCGTCTGGTTCCTCCTCATGGTCTGGCTCGCGCACATGGCCGCGGGCCAGCGCTTCTCGCCGCAGCGCGTGGCCTTCGTGTGCACCTTCCTCTACGCCATGCACTACGCCACCGCCCTCGAGATCGAAGAGAAACGCTGCGCGCCTTTGCCGCGCGTCGTCATCGGCTGCTGGCAGCTCCTCGAGCGGGACAATTCGCGCGACGCGGCGGTGCGGACGTTAGAAGCCTACGCGGCCGCGGGCTTCACTGCCTTCGACACGGCGGACATCTACGGCCCGTCCGAGTCGATCCTGGGCGCGTTCCGCGAAGCCCACGACGGCCCGCTCACGTTCCACACGAAGTACGTCACGCAGGACAGCTCCAAGGCCAACGCCGTCGCCGTGAACAAGCAGAGCCGGAAGAGTTTGCGGGTGGAGTCGCTGGACCTCGTCCAATTCCACTGGTGGGACTTCTCCGACGGCGCCTACGTCGAAGCAGCGAAGCACCTCGTCGACCTACGCACGAAGGGTTTCATCGGCGAGGTCGCCGCCTGCAACTTCGACGCGACGCACCTCGAGACGCTGCTGGACGCGGGCGTTCCTCTCGTCGCGAACCAGGTGCAGTATTCTCTCCTGGACCGGCGGCCGGAGAACGGCGTCATCGCGCTGGCGACGAAGCGGGGGCTCCAGCTCACGTGCTTCGGCACGGCGGCGGGCGGCTGGCTCTCCGACAAGTACCTCGGCGCGCCGGAGCCGACGCGGTCGGACGTCAGCAAGGGCACGGTGTCGCTCCGCATGTACAAGAGCTCGCTGGACGCCTGGGGGCCCTGGAGCCTCTTCCAGGACCTGCTGAAGACGCTGCGGGCCGTCGGCGACGAGCTCGACGCGTCCATCTCGGCCGTCGCCGTCGCGTGGGTCCTCGACGCGCTCGACCGGTCCTGCGGCGGGTCCGTGATCCTCGGCGTGCGCGACGCGAGCCACCTGGACGACCACGTCCGGGCCCGCGACCTCGCCCTCGACGACATGCACCGCGCGGCGATCCGCGCGGTCCTCGACAAGGGCGCCGCGCCCCGCGGCGACATCTGGTCCCGCGAGCGCGGGTGATTTTGAGCGGCGCGGCGGCTTTGTAACAACAACGTTACTACCGGCTCTCCTTCTTCAGGCGCTCCCGGAGCGTGGCGACGATGGCCTTCTGCGTCCGCTTCCGCAGGATCGCGAGCTTGGGCTCGATGTCGCGCTTCAGGTCCCAGTTCGGGTCCTTGGGCACGACGCTCACGGCCTCCGTGTCCTCGGCGCGGATGCGCGCGAGCTCCGCCTCGAACGCGCTCGGCGCGTCGGGCTTCTTCGCCGCCGGGCCGCCGCCGTCGTCGTCGTCGTCGTCGTCGTCGCCGGGCCGCGCCGCGGCGCCGTCGTCGCCGAGGTCGGGCTTCGGCAGACTCGCCGGCGCCTCGAAGTTGGCGCTCAGCGCCTCGGACTGGGGCAGGTAGTTGCGGAACTTGAGCTTCTTCGCGTCGCCGCCGCCGTCGTCGCCGCCGTCGCGCGACGCGCGGAGCGCCTTGAGCCGCGCCTTGCGGTCCGCGGCCGACTCCGCCATGGACACCTGCGGGATGTGCGCGGTCGTTAGGACGAGCTCGCGCACGGAGGAGAGGGCGCGGCGCGTCAGACATATTCGCCCGCGCCCCGGCGGCGCGCTTTTCAGCGGCCGCCGGGACCTCTCCCCCGCCGTTGACAACTGCGCTAGGGCTATGGTCGAGCCGACGGCAGATAACACGAGGCGGGGTGGGGGCGCGCGCACCACCGCGGGGCGTCGCTCGGATTAGCTTGGCCAGTAAAATCACGGGACGGCGCCGCCGGTGGATAGCCGGCGGACGACCGCGGTCATATGACACGCATGAATGATTGAAGATGGATTTTCGTCATCGCGGTAGCCGCGTGGTGGTGCGTTGGGAAGGGGGTTACGGGACGCGGGCGCGCGCGGACGACGAGCTGCGGCGACAGCGAGCTGCGGCAACGTCGCATCAAGGTCGATAAGGTCGGCCTGGTTCAATTGCCTGGTTGTGGATAATTTCGTGGAGCACCAAGCAATGGGGGATTAGCCAGCTCTGCAGCTGCATCTAGCGGTCGCTGAGCCGCAAAAACGTTTCTCTAAAACAACCATGTCCGGCTGGGACGTCAACACGCCGGTCCTCGTCTCCGACGCGGCCGACGGCTGGACCGCCGCCACGGTCCAAAAGTCGAATGGCATCGGCTCCGACGCCCTGCTCGACGTCAGGCTCGACAAGGACGGCACGCTCGTCGAGCGCAGGGGCGCCGAGGTGGAGATCTTCGACGGCGCCGCGCTCGCGGGCGCCAGCGACATGGCGGCGCTGGAGGCGCTCACCGAGGGCCGCATGCTCGAGTGCCTGCGGCGCCGCTACGCGGCGGACGCCATCTACACGTCCGTCGGCGGCATCGTCATCGCCGCGAACCCCTTCCGCGCCCTGCCGCACCTCTACGACGACGCGGCGGTCGCGCGCTTCCGGGAGGGCGACGACGGCGCGCTCGCGGCGCCGCACCCGTTCGCGATCGGCGAGGCCGCGCTCCGGGGCCTCGTGCGCGACGGCGCGTCGCAGTCCGTGCTCATCTCCGGCGAGTCCGGCGCGGGCAAGACGGAGACGGTCAAGTACGTGCTGCGCTACCTCTCGCGGCGGTCGGCCGCGGAGACGGGCGCGGACGGCGTCGACGGCCGGGTCCTGCGGTCGAACCCCGTGCTCGAGGCCTTCGCGAACGCGAAGACGGCGCGCAACGCGAACTCGAGCCGCTTCGGCAAGTACGTCCACGTCTACGTGGACCCGCTGTCGGGTCTGATCAAGTCCGCGTCGATCTCGCAGTTCCTGCTCGAGAAGGTCCGCGTCGTCGACCGCGTCCCCGACGAGCGCAACTACCACGCCTTCTACCAGTGGGCCCGCGGGGCGCGGCGCACGACGCCGGCGAGCTTCCGGCTGCTCGCGGGGCCCTGCGTCGACGTCGCGGGCGTCGACGACGCCGCGGGCTGGGCCGAGACCGCGGCGGCGCTCGGCGACCTCGGCGCGTCGACGGACGACGTCGCCGGCGCCGCGGGCGCCCTCGGCGGCATCTTAGCGCTCGGCGACGCGATCATCTCGTCCGTCGAGCTCCCGGGCCAGGACGCGGGCTCGGCGTTGGACGTCGCGGGCGCGCCGCTCGGCGTCGCCGCGGACGCCTGGCGGGGCGCGCTCTGCGCCCGCAACGTCGCGGGCGTCGACGTGCCCAACTCGACGGACGCGGCGCGCCAGTGCCTGGCCGCCGTGCTCAAGGCCTGCTACGCGCGGCTCTTCGACTGGGTCGTGTCGCTCGTCAACGACGCGCTCCGGTCCCCGTCGGCGTCCGAGGACCACTTCGTCGGGCTTTTGGACGTCTTCGGCTTCGAGTCCTTCGCGCACAACTCCCTGGAGCAGCTGTTGATCAACTACGCCAACGAGCGGCTGCAGCATCACTTCAACGCCGTCGTCTTCGCGCAGGAGGCGAGGCTCTACGCCGCGGAGGGCGTGCCCGTCGGCGAGACGGCCTTCGTGGACAACGCGGACGTGCTCGCGCTGTTGGACGGGAAGGTGCTCAAGGTGTTGGACGAGGAGTGCGCGCTGCGGACGGGCGGCGACGCGTCGTACCTCGCGAAGCTCGAACGCGCCTGTGCTTCCTGCCCCCCCTTCGAGCCCATGCGCGCCCGCAAGAAGTCGACGGACGCGGAGCGCGCGTTGGTCGGCCGCGCCTTCGGCGTGCGCCACTTCGCCGGGTCCGTCGTCTACGCCGTGGAGGGCTTCGTGAGCAAGAACCGCGACGCCCTACCGGAGGCCGCGGCGCACGCTCTCGCGCGGTCCGACGCCCCGCTCATCGCCAAGCTCTTCGCGGACGGCGACGCGCTCACGTCGAGCGGCGCGCGGAGCTCGCGGTCGCGCAAGGGCCGCGCCTGCGTCGCCAAGACCTTTGGCGCCTCGCTGAAGGCCTTAACGAAGACGATCGACGCGACGGCGCCCCACTTCGTGCGCTGCGTCAAGCCCAACCCCGCGTCGAGGCCCAGGGCCTTCGACGGCGCCTACGCGCTGGAGCAGCTCCGCTACATGGGCGTGCTCCAGATCGTCGAGGCGCGGAAGCGCGGCTACCCGAGAAGGTACGCGCACGGCGCGTTCGACGCGCGGTTCCGGTCGCTCGTCCACGACGACGACGACTGCCGCGTCGTCGGCGACGACCCGGAGCTTTTGGATCCCGAGGGTTTAGCGTTCGCGCTCTGCGCGGAGCTGAAGCTCGAGCCGGCGTCCGTCGTCGTCGGGAGGACCAGGGTCTTCCTGAAGCACGCGGCGGACGCGGCGCTCGAGAAGGCGCGCGACGCGGCGCTGCGGGCGTCGGCGCTCAAGGCGCTCGACGCGGCCGCGGCGTCGAGCGACCCGTGCGTCGTGGAAGACGCGCTGCGCGCGGCGTTGGACCTCCGGCTCGCGGGGCCGGCCGTCGACGCCGCGCGGTCGCGGCTCACGGAGCTGCGCTTCCTCGAGGCGGAGCGCGCCTTCGCGGGCGCCCTCGCCGCCGCGGCGAGGGCCGCGTCGGGCGACGCCGTGTCGCGCGCCGCGGGCGCCGCGGCGCGCGCGCTCGACGCCGTCCGCGTCGTTTAG